TGGGCAGGACTGCACTGCCTTTGTTAATAGTGTCATTTACATGCTACTTTTATGGAAATGTTGAGCAGCCAGTTCTCCCCCATCTTTCAATTTATATGTACGCTACCAGCTAATATGGGATTAAATAGCATTACCTTTTACATGACATATCCTTGTATATTGTATTTTAATATTTAGATATTGAAAAGTTTCGTTTTATTTCAGGTCATAGACCAGAGATCTCATTGTGCTGTGATTCTGCAGAGGGAAGTCTGACGAGCAGGCTTCCGTTCTTATTTTCCTTACACAGTAGCTTTTATTGTTGTAGTTTCAAAACAGTGGAGCATAAGCAGTGATTTAAAAGATTTGAATACTGCCTGTGAGAGAATGATGCATTGATTAGAATTTGTGTGCACTGTCATTTTACAACTGTAATGAAATAAACTGCTGTTATGCTGTTGTATGGATACCAGTGGGTTTTTTTTGTTTTTTGCTTATAGAAATATTCATAAAAAATAATTTACCTGTTACTGTATTTAATAATTATTAAACCTGTTGTGTATGAAGTTTTCATATCATATCATATAATATAATATAATAAATGCTTTTCCTTCCTTATAGCGCTCCATAAGATACTAGACGCGCATGCGCAAGATTGACAGCGCAGGGTACTTCACAACAGCCAGCTGATACGAACTAGCAAGTGACAGTGTTAAGTGTTTTCGGTTTTGTTTCATACAGTAAATCAGTCGTCGGACCTACATTTTCACCCCGTAGGTCATGTAGAGTAGAAGTCAGTTCATATAAGTATGGCAGTTGTATTTGAATGCTTTGACAGGTCATCGTCGTTGTAGTTAGCAAGTTAGCTAGCTAGTTGAAGTTGGCAGGACTGAACAACAAGGCTGGCTAGCTAAGGTACATCGAACTATTACAAGCTGGCATCGAAATTCATCACCGTCAGCCATGGGAATACTATTTACAAAGTTATGGAGGCTTTTTAACCACCAAGGTAAGAATGGTGCTGCGGCATTCATCATGAAACTGTCGAAGGTGTAGGAGCTAAGGGGGCTCCGTGGTCAGAGAAGGCCCGCTGGTCTATTCTCTCATAATTAGCCGTGTAACCAGTTTCTGTCCCTAACGGGACGTTTACTGTTTCATTATTGGTATTGTCGGTGAATTTAAAAGTTGTCACATGGTTTACCGTTTATATTTAACGTTATGGTCAGCATTTCACCAATGGACCGGCAAAGATGATAGTTTTTCTGCGAACATGGCGCTCCATTTCTGAATTAACTTTGTGTTAGATTATTTATGCTCTCGGGTTCTAGAGCGCAGATAGGCAAAACCAAGTAGATTCCTGGCTAGTGATCTTGAATCAGTAAACAGGTCCTTGCGAAACCTCTGTAACCTGAACCCCGAGGTACAGTGTGATGCGGTGTTCAGTCCGGGTTGACACCGGCATTGAGACTGGAGATGGCTACACCAACAGAGCACACAGAAGTCAGCTACATCAGCAAAATTCTCCAGTTAACAAGGCGATTGACTTTAGACTGAATCACACTGACTTTGTACTGCCAGTGTGATTACTTAATCTTATCAGATTAGTGTCAGGAGTTTTCTGATAGGTGACAAATTAAAGGAAGAATCTGAACCCTTGACACCTACAGTAAGGGGATCCAGCAGCTCTGTTGGGAACAGTTTCGTTGGTGAGTTGTGTGGGTTCGCTTGTCCACTTAGAGGGAAGGATCACAGCAAATACATATGTTCTGAGTGATCACACTTATCCTGCGATAAAACAGGTCTAACCAGATGGGTGTGGTCTCTTCTGTAGGGGCACAAAGGATCATTAAATACTTTGTGTATGAAAATAATGTGAATCATAACATAAAACAGGTCTTTGCAGTCACCTAGCTTCACTCTAACTCAAGTTAACTTAACACATATGGGAGACTTTACACTGATGTGTTAGAGAATGTCGTCATGTACACAAAAAAGTAATCCCTGTAAGGAGGAGTAGTTTTAATTATCTGCCTAACGGCCAGAAACATGTAGTAGTAATGTCAAGATGCATATAAGCTGTTTTGTGGCCAGACAATATTATAATAATGCATCTGAGTCAGAGGACCAGACATTTGCCATTTGTTCAATTCTAAATTATGCTCTTATTTTCTTGTACCCATCCTGTCCCTGAAGCCTGAAAAGCTTTTATTGTCATCCCTGGATGTAGCCTCAGAGCTGCGCTTCCAAATCTCAGAAGTCTTACCATTTACCCAGCTGACTGAGACAACCCAGTGGAAGAACAGAAGCATATTAACATACATGGCATGTTGACATGACATTTTTGTGTGTGGTAGAATGCATATATAAAGCTCATTTTTCACCTTGCACAGATCCGTTTGCAAAAGCTTTCGCTTCCTCAGTTTTGAGGTTTTCGTTTTGTTAGCTGAAGGCTTAGCTGTACGTGATTACACACTGATTATGGACTTTTTATGATTTCCTTGAATTACAAGTTTTGTCAAAGGTTAGTTTGGGGATCCATGCAAAAACAGAGTGTGGTAATAGATCTAGATACAATAATATGATATAATAGGCATTCCTTTTCTTCGCTGTCTTCCAAAAAATATTCCAGAGCACATAAATTATTTTCACCTTCCCTAGTGTAAGCAAATAAACGCTTTCTATGTTCTGTGTTCTTCAGCATAACAGATTATAGATCATATGTGCTAAAAGGCATAGGAGTATTTAAAACTTAAGAGCCAATAGGTCTCAACCGACAGGCTGATGCTGATATTTGTCTATGTATCCAGTTTAAATGAAATGTTATAGCTTTTAGGTAGCTGTTTTATCTCATGATAGCAGTTTATTCAGAGTAACACAGGTTGGGTTTTCCATGTACATTTACATAAACAAAACTATAACAGGCTTTTCGAACATACAGCTTGTACAGATAATGCTGTAGTTGGAAGAGCTGCAGTAGGGCTGGGCGATATGGCCTAAAATCCATATCGCGGTATAATTTGAAGCACGTGCGGTAACGATATATATCACGATATATTCTTTTCTTCTGTATAACGTATTTTCCACACTATAAGGCACACTTAAAATCCTTTAATTTTCTCAAAAATCGAGAGTGTGCCTTATGTATGAATTCTGGTTGTGCTTACTGACCTCGAACCGATTTTGGCGTGCAGAAATCTGTTAAAAAATGTTTTAGTACAACTTTGGTAAGCCGCACTGCTTGATGGATTGTCAGAGCATTACGGCTGCCGTAGTGAGGAGCTTCGCGGAGTAATCTGGGTCCAAAACTCCGTCCTCTTCAGGTCCCAAAGTCAAACGAACACTAGAGTTAAAAACGGTCTAAATTCTTTCATCTTTAATAAAATCATCAGCGTTGCTGCTTTACCAGGTGTAACAATTAAGTTTAACATCCAGGCATCCATGAAAACAGAATTTATTAAATTTAACGGAGTTAGAAGTTAACAGGAAGTTAGCTCGCTAGTTTCCACCTAAACATTTCATACCATGTTCTGACTGAGAGATTTTTGAAACTAATTAAAACGTACAGCTCTGCTACCACTTCCAACATAAATGAAGACAGAAAACTAAACAGCAGTGGCGTTTGCAGGGTTACTGAAGTTGGACTACCTGGTATATAATGTTGTGCTACGTGATTGCTAGCGACACAGCTATGTTAGCATAACATTAGCACAGTGAAGCTGGAGGATGAACGCCAACTTTTTTTCCACTCGATAAAAGTTAACGTGAGGGATTCTGGTGGTCAGGGACAAATGCAATCGCATAGCAGGATGCTATACACGGGCCAAACTTCAGTCAGGAGAACAACTGAGATTATTCATCCACAATACGAGGTTAGTTATTAATATACTGCAACAACATGGGAATAGAACAGCTGCGAGAGAATTCAACATTAATGAATCAATGTTACGGAAGTGGAGGAAGCGCAGTTTTTGGCTTTCCCCATATTTCAAAAGTGCTTCATCTCTTTGCTATGACTGTCGCCGGAGACAGTCATAGGAAAGAGAGACTTAATGCAGGAGACTTAATGCAGGCTTTGTGTATTTGTCCTGTGACGCAAGATTTTTCTATAAACCAAACACGAAGATAAGTCTGTTAAGCTCAGCTTAATACAAATAGAAGGTAGTGCATGCTTTTTCTGTCATGTACTAGTTTTTTTTCTAATGACATCAACCAGTCTTTGTTCCTCAGTCCTCATCTCGCTCTCTTATAGAGATGGCATCATAGTGGTGGGCTATATGACCTGTAAGGCATTTTCACAGTATATTAAGTTGTTGTTATCATCATCCTCATCATCATCATCATCATCATTTTTGTTTTTGTTATTACAACCTCATTTTAAAGCCCAATTTTATTACAACTCCAAGTTACTTAATTTTGTAAAATGTAAATAGAAAATGATTTGCAAATCTCATGACTTCATATTTTATTATAGAACATAGAAGACATCAAATGTTTCATAAAAGTAAGCATTACTAAAAAAGAAACAACTGGAGGATTTTATTAGGTAACTAACTAGGTTAACTGGTGACAGGCCAGTAACATAACTGAGTAGAGCAGTGAGTTTCTCAGAAGTAAAAATGGACAGAGGTTCATTATTCTGCAGAAAACTGCATCGACAAATTCTAGAACAACTTTTACAATAATATTCATAATAATGTAAAAATGTGAAAGCTTTACCCAGTCTGTATTCAACATTTTTCTGTTAAGTGCCGTCATGCTTTTTAAAGTCTCTGCCCCAGTTTTCTTCTTATTCACTTACTTATTATATAATCTTATTCACCTTACATTTACCCTTGTTCTGTCCTTCATTCTAGGGCCTCATTACTATTTAGTGCAGTTATGGCAGACAGTGCAGTTGATACTGGCCCAAGGACGTGCTGTAGTATGTAGGGCTGGGCCATATTATACCGTTCACGGTAATACCGGTATAATGTTAGGCAACGATAGGAA